CTTTTTTAATTGGAGAATGGAAATATAAAATAACTTACCTGCAGGGACAATGCAATCCCGTGCAAATGCTTTTTACCCTCTTCTTTAATTTTTTTCATAGAACAATATAGGTGTGCAAGAGCAGCAGCACCCCAGGCATAATCTTTTATTTTTTCAACATGATAAAGCAATGGAAGATGGAGAGTATCAACATCCCCCTTAGAAGAACTACTGAATAAGGACGAACCTAGAACATAAAGAGCATATGCTCTAGTATGTCGATCTAGTTCAACTTCAGTTGCTCTTGGTGGAACTTCCATAAATTTTTCTCTAAGAACAGATAGCTTAATGGCTCCTCGAATTGCCCTTTGTTTTTTAAAGGTCAAATCTTGTCCAAAACATTGGTTGGACCAATAAGTCATGTCACCAGCGGTCCCAGTGACAGACTGGCCTGTAATGTGCAAGCCTGTAATTTCGAGAACATCTTTCAAGCCAAAAACTAATTTTATACCACCAAATTCAAATCCACATGTCTCTGTATTGAAATGGGATACCACACATTTCAGAAGCTGGCTATCATGTTGACATTTTGCAAGTTCGCTTAAACGTGGAAAACCGGTATCTTCTAGACGAATTTTAATTCTTTGGTCTAATGTCCAGTTTTGCAAATTTTCCAAGTGCTCAGTGCAAGTAACCATTTTGTTCTGGTCTACCAATATCCCTGGTCAAGTTTCATCACATTCATCAATTAAACAACATTCAAGCATGACCCAACTCAAATTTTCGAGTTCTATCATCTATGGGTACATGCAAATCAACCAAAAATTTGGGGGAAAATGAGAATAACAAGTTTCAATCTCAACACTAATTAAATAGCAGTTAGGTGTTGCTGTGTCCAAGCTAGGTTCACAATACTTGTTTGGTGATGTTTGGTATACTAGACTGCTAGTTTACCTAACATCATTGCTAAGTTGCTAATAGAAACAACTTCTATCCTTTTTAACCTGTTAACAGAACCTAGACCGAACAGCCACGTATTACCATGTAAAAATGCATATAAAGTCGGTTCGGATCAAATACAAACGAAATGCAAAAGCATACAATTAGTCTAATAGACATGAACATCACAAAAGGGTCGGTCCACAGATGGAATTAGAAGTGAAAATTCTTGTTATTGACATATCATGAAAAGATGAACTCAAATCAAACTTTAATCAATTAGAACGAAACCGGGCAGCCACAAACTAATGACAAATAAGGCTCAAAAATCATGTTATCATTTAAATCAACCTCAAGAATATGAAAAACAAGTTCTACATATACATGTCAAAACTCGGGCAGCCATGAATAACAATCAAATTTAAGCTCAAAAACTTATGCTATTGTTCAATTTTCATCGCAAACATAGAGACTTGAAATCAAAGTAAACTACACTCAAACGAGTCAAATCCGGGCAGCCACGTATTATTTCACGAAAACGCACAAAAATGGTCCGGATCAAATGGAAACAATGTGCACAAGTATTTACAAGCAAGGCGACGAATTATCTAAAAAGAAATCATCAAAGAGAATGCACCATTAAATCGGGCAGCCACACACACTTGAACCAAAGCGCACCGGAATCGATTTTCGCACAACAAATTAATATTCAAAGGTGCTTTTCAATTCAAGTCATATTTCTTCCAATTTATCGGTGCATTGCCGATTAAAAAACTCAAGCCAAAAAGTGCTAATTCCTAATAACACAAAGAAACTAATCAACTCATGGATTCGATTCAAAAGTTCAAAAATTCGACATTACAACATGCTCTCGTACACAAACTCGGACAGCCACTCGTAACCACCATAATGCTCGACAAAATCATCTCAAAAAATGTGCAGCACATATGGAAAAGCACCGATATCAATGACTAAAGCATATTAACACCACAAACATGTTATCGGCATCGAAAATTCAATCAAAATTATCAATACGACATGGCATCAATCAAATGTAATGGAACTATCATAATATGGTGTCAATATCAACACTTCAATCGGAATTCATCACAGTCCAATTGCCGTTTCGACTCACACTGGAAACCCGAAACAGATTTAAACTCTCAATAAATTTCTTAATACAATAGTCATGACATTTTCAACTCACAAGAAATCTAAACAACACACAATCATCAAGCTATTTCCATAACAATTATCACGAATTCACTAGCATAAACACACTATCGCAAGATAAATCTTTGATACCAATCTTGCGGACCGTTATGCTAAGAAAAAGGGGATGTTGTACTAACCTTTCGGAAACGTGAAGCCCGAAGTTATGGTGCTGTTGGTGTAGCGGGAGTGGCTTCGGTGGTAGTGAGCGGAAATGGAAGAGGACCGGCGACGGAAGGGAAGAAATTCCCGGTGGTCTTCGTGTGTTTGACGGAGGTGAGTTGTGTCGGAGGAATTCGCGGTGAGAAGTGAGAGAGGGAGAAGGCGGAGGCTGTTCGCCGGAAGAAAGAGAGGTGGTCGGGAGGTGGTGAGACGGCCGCGGGAAAGCAAGAAGGAGAGAGAAAGAGAGAAAGAAGAAAGGGAAATTTTTTTTTTTTTTTCTGTTATATTGTTTTTGTTTTGAATTTTCAGAGAAAGAGGGGAAATAACTTGGAAATTTTGTTTTTTTTGTCAAAAATGAAAAGTTATGAAAATTGGGAAGAAAATTCATTTATATAGTGTAAGGAATTTTGTTTGGTTGAACGGAAATGGGGAAGAAATTCGGTTACCGGTAGAAAATCCCGGTAGTTTGGAACGGAGAGAAAATTTCCGGATGGAAAATAAATTTTTTATTTTCTTTTTGTTTTCTCTTTTATTTATTTCTTTCTTATTTTTTTTCATTTCTTTTTCTCGTTGATTTTTATAATCGGACCGATTAATAATAAAAATCGCAAAAAATAAATTGCGAACTTTTATTATTAATATTTTTTTTTCACTATTTTTCGAATTAATAGTAAAAAGTCATAAAAATAAATTATGAACATTTTATTATTATTTATTTTTCGTGATGAGTAGAAATTTTGATTGTGCATCGCATAATTCCAGTAATTCGCAAAAATATTTGATTTCAACCGAAAATTCATCTCAGGCTATTTTTCTCGATGTGCACCATAATTTGTCGTCAGTTATCCACGTTCTCTGAATAAAAGCGATATTGCCTTGAATCTCTGATTTTTATCTGTTTTCTGATCAAACTGACACGACAGCTTCGAAAGCTTTGTGAGACGAAATAAATGTCTATTGCTTCATTAAAAAATATGCGGATGAATGAGGGCAAATTTTGGGGTGCAACAACTGCCCCTATTCAATCTTCTTTAACCTGATGAATGAAGGAAACGACAGTTCCTGAATGTTGAAGGTGAAAGAGGATTGAATACTGATCTATTCGAGCTTAAACAACACAAGATCAGGCAAAGAACACTAGCAGGCATTCTATGAAAAAATATGAGCAAATAAAAGAAGAGATTCCTATCATCACTTAGCAATCATCAACATTGGCTAAACAATAACAACCCTAAATTAAAAAATCCTAGAAAGAACAGACGTTATTTCGTATGACCAACTTATTATTCTTATACCATAAATCCGTCCATGATACAGAACTACAACCAACTTCAGCAACTATACAGAACACAATCGAAGTTCAAGATCATAAATCTGAAAATAAAAATATGTTAAGATCTTGCATTGCAGAAACTGAAATTACACGTTTCTAGTGAGATTCAATTGGTTATAAATACTCAAGAAAAATATACATATCAGTTCAGCAGTACATATATGCATCATTGTTCTTACCTCATGCCTTTCTTCAACACAATTTCCTAGTTTAAACATTGCAGTCCTAGTTCTACCTCAAATGTTCACATTCATAACATGGTCCAGTTCATGTGCAAGCATAGTACAAGAAACAACATCAAGCCATGCTATAAGAACCTAAACATGTCATCATCAACTCATACATGCCATAGTCATTATCAATCAAACTAGTCATGAAAACATAAATCCGTGCACCCATCTTTTCATAGAGGTAGATTCTCCCATGCCTCTACCCGACCTCTCAAGCCCACACAACATGATTCTCCTTCTTATCCACACCTCCAATTATACTAAAACAGGCTATTTTTGAACCCTCCTTTTTTTTAATTAATTGCTTTTTTTTAATTATTTCTATTTAATTCTTGCAAATAATATTTGGGGTTTGTATTGTGTGCTAAATATTTAAATTATGTCTTGTATGCTTGTATGATTTATTCACTCTTGTACACTTCACGCACTCCTAACCAAACTTGTAAAAATCTCGATCCAACGTCGAGTTTATTTTTTTTCAAAAAATAAAAATACTTTCATAATAAATGTTCAAAACTCGATCCAACGTCGAGATCCCTTTTCAAAAATATTTTCATAAACAAATGTCTATTTCTCCCCTTTTCCAAGTATAAGGTAGTGTGTCCTTTATCGACCTCGATCTTATGTTTGGTTTCTTTAAATAAACTTAATAAAAGTGAATTTTATTCACATCACTCCTTTGTTAAAAAACTTTTGGGAAGAAAAAAGGTGATTCGGATGGTTCTGTCCACTCATACTTATCTCCCAACTTAAAAAATCAATTCAACCCATTCAAATTCAATGATGTTGTGTTAATAAGTGTTACCCCCTACTTATGTTATGTGGACTGAAACCATGACCAAGCTGGAATGTTTGGATACAATACGATATTTACCTTAATGAAGTGAGGTTTGTAAGGTATTAAAATTATGCCCTCTTATATTTATTGGAAGCATGTGTGAAGGGATTTATTCCCTGAAATCGGGCATTTATTCATGTGTGACTTAGTGTCACCTCCAATATTATAGTGAAACTTAAAAGATCATAGGGGTGATACAACAAAACTTTTCTCTAGTATAAACTGACAAAGCACGTGATATTGAATACATGTAACATATATATTAGCCTACTAGTAGAAGTATACATTATTCCTACATACTACTATTAATGATGTTGTGTAAGAGAAATTTATCAGGAGCATGTATTTTGAGTGGTTGCAGAGAAATTTATCTTCAATTAAGAAATAGACACTATCAAATTGGAGCAAATAAAAGAGTATTTAATATTCCATTCACATTCAAAATAATCTCTTTTTTCTCTTCTTTTTACTTTTTTCTGGTTTGATAGAGATGGTAAGACTTTGAAGATCCTAGACCATATTTTATTGTTTTTAATCACTCAGTTCAGTATAACCAACTAAAAATAGAGTGGAAAAAGAAACAGAAATGGGAAACAGAGAGAAAAGAATAAGAGTAAAAATAACACTATAGATAGATGTTTTTTTTTTGTTTCTTATCAGCATTACAATAAAATAATATTGAAAAAATGGCTTTTAAAGATAAAAGAAGAATGAGAATTGAAGTCTAAAAAGAAAATGTAACTTCCAAGAAGAGATGTGACAAATCCCTTACACAACATCATTAATAGTAGTATGTAGGAATAATGTATACTTGAAGTCTCTTTACACATTGTAATGACACAAAAGAGTGTGTTGCACCACAATCAAACAACACAAAACAAGGATGTCCATTAACTAAACATGCTTTTTAACGAAAAATTTTACTATACAATTAACAAACATTGTATTATGAATAACATTAAAAATTATACTATACACAATAAA